CCATTTCATTCCCTTGCTACTCACAGCAGGTTAGGGTTTTCCCAGCCTGGAGCTCTTTGTGCCTCTCCCGTGCCACCTGACAGTAAATGACCTTTTAAAGACTCTGGAAGAGACCTAGCCGGTTTGGCTAAGTGGATAGAGCCTTGGCCTGGGGACTGACAGCCCCAGGTTAGATTCCGGACAAGGGCATGGTACTTTGGTTGCAGGCTAGATCCCTGGTCAGGGTGTGTGTGCAGAAGGCAACCAATTGATGCCTCTCACACACATCGGTGTTTCTTTCTCTTTCCCCTCCTTTCCACTCTCTAAAAAATAAATGGAAAAATATCCTCAGGTGAGGAGTAACAAAAAATAAAGGCTTTAGACGAGCTCTCCCCAGCCAGTAAGGCGGAGGCTGTGTGGAGAAGCCGGCCTAAGTATACGGCCTGGGCAGGGGTCCTCTTTGCATCATCCCCAACTTCTCCCGGGAATTCCAAGTTTGAAGAGAGGATTCAACTCTCACCTTCCATACAAACACAATATATCTTTATTGAAGTTTGTAAAATAAAAATAAAAACACACATCTTAAAACACGCATTTCAAGTTAGTTTAACAAATATCTTCCCTGTCCCCTGCCCCAACAAAACCCAACCAAGCCAGCAGGACAGGGTATATTAATGCAGGGAGCTGGAGTGGGAGTGAAGGGTGGTGTTAGATGGGGGGGCAGGGGGATAGAGGTCAAGGGGCCCGGGAGGACTCATTGACTGGCAGTCTCCACCAGGGCTGGGGGGTAGGAGGTAGCCCATCTCAGCAGCATTCCTCTGCTGTATTAGGGTGGCCCCAGGAGGAGGTACAGGCTCTTCCCAACCCCAGGTCCATTTCCTCTTCTTCTTCTACCTCCTGGAAGTTTGAGTCTTAACTAAGACCCAGTTTTCCCATAGTAAAGAAGGATGGGTGCAAAGGACTGGAGATCTAGAGGGGGCCAACCCCCCCAGACTCAGGCCTTTATGCTGGGGTAACCCCCATAGTAATTACTGTAGGAAGGAGAGACACCAGATGGCTCTGCCCACAAATGGCTGGGCCCTCACACCAGAGACCCAGCCTGATTCTGGGCGGGCACCATCACGGGGACAGCACCCTTGCGACTCAGAGCAGAGGGTGAGACCCAACCAAGGCTGCGTGTGGGGGTCGATGCACCCAGCCTGGAAGGGCCGTGGGGCGGTCTGAGGGCTGGTGACGAGGTGACAGAGGAAAGGGTCCCATTCTTGGAGATTGTGTCTGAGCCCTTCGGCCAGGGCAGGGTCCGAGGAGCAGTGGCATCTTCCCTAGTCATCAGAGAAGTAATGAGGTCAGAAACTGGAAGCGAGTGAGTTTCTACAGGCCTTGTCTTCCTCTCCCCTTCCCCCACTTCAACTCTCCTCTCCCTTCAAATCTACCCATAGGCGTAATGCTTCAGCCACAGCCCATGCTTCCATCAGATGACAGCTGCCTGCATTCCCAGCCTCCCTCAGGGAGCTAGGAGGGTCCTGTCTGGGCACTTACTTGATATCATTGGCCACCTCCTCTGGGACCTTGCCCTGGCGTTGGTACAAGAGGACCAGTCCAGCTAGCAGCCCCAATCCAACCAGGGTGCCCACAACAGCTCCAGCAACCACTGCAGCCCCAGGCCCTGGAAGAACCTTGGTGTCAAAGGGCGACATCCAGCTGTCCCCCCTCCCTCTCCAATGCACTACCCCACTGCCTCCATACACCTTGTGTCTTTTTCTCTGTTAAGAAGAGGTGGCTATCCAGCAGAAAATGGTCACTGACCAAATATTTGGACAAACATTTGATCAGAACAAATTCCTTGCCCTGTTACAATGAGAGGACTCAGTAGATAGGTCTCCCCCAAAAAAACACCCCAACCACTGGCCCCACTTACCCCTCACTGACCTGTGCTCACTTCCAGGGTCACGTTGCAGCTGGCGCTGCCCACCCTGTTGGAGGCCTTGCAGATATAGACTCCAGACATAGAACTGGAAAGGTTTCGGAGGCTTAAAAGGCCAGAGATGGCATCTGTGGACACAATTTAGCCATCAGGCCAGGGACCCTATTTCCCACTAAAAAAAGAAAAGCCTACCCCTCCTC